AAGGAAATCCACTGAGCATGGTGGCACACATTTGTAATTACAGTTAACAGGAGACTAGGGCAGTAGAAGTACAAGTTTCAGGCTAGTTTGTGCAATTTAGTGAGACTCTCAAAACAATACCTAGGAATAGTGTTTCACATCCATATTCCAGCACTTAAGGAGACAGAGGCAAAAAGATTACAAGTTCAAACCCAGCCTGGGACTCAATAATGTAACAAGACCCTGGTGATAAAGCCTAGTGGAAGAATCCAGGTTCAATCCCCAGTACCACAAAAATAAATAAATAAACACATCTGTATTTTACTGTGCAATTTAGGAGTGAAGACAATATTTTCCTCTATACAAGCACCTGATGTTACCTTCTTCATGTAACCTTTCAGATGAAAACACTGAGGTTTAGATGACAGAAGAAAGGCTGAACTATCATTTTAACACTTCGATCTGCATCTAAGGCCATGATCTTCACATCCCCGCCATACTACCAGGGTATCAAAGGTTAAGACCCTGTGTTATGGCTGGGTATGGTCATGTGTGCCTATAATCCCAGCACTTGGGAGCCTGAGGCCAGCCTGGACTACATGAGCAAGTTCAAGACCAAATTAAACACTACAATAAGACCCTGCCTCAAAGAAAAAAAAAAAAGATTCTGAGTTATGAGCTCTTTTATTTTTCTTTATTGAGACAGTCTTGCTATTTACATCAGACTGACCCTGAACTCATGGCAATCCTCCTGTCTCAGCCTTCTGAGAGAATTTCAAGCATGTGCTACCATGCCCAACTGGACTCTTTTCAAATTCCTTTCTAAAATTATGCAAAGTGTGCCTATATTACTACTGAAATCACAGTATTTTTCTGGTACTAGTATAGAACTGAGAGCCTTCCCACTAAACTATATTCTCAGTCCTTTATAGTCTTGAGACAGGACCCAACTAAACTGCTGAATTGCCCAGCCTGAACTTGAACTCAAAATCCTCCAGCCTCAGCTTCCCATAGTCCTGGGATTATAGGATGTAACATCAGGCCTGACTGTCATATCTGTTTGTTTGGGTTTTTTTGGTTTTTTTGAGACAGGGTCTTGTTATGCAGCCCAGGATGGCTTCAAACTCACAGCACTCTGTTTGTTGCCTTAGGTGTATGCCACCAGGTCCTGGGGTCAGGTCTATTCTCTTACCCAGCTATACTGTGAGAAATTAAATGTTTAAGTCTTAAAACAATTATTTTTAGTGGAAATACAATAGTAAAAAAAATTTCCCCTATATTAGTAGTAAGAAACACCATGACAAACTGGGACCCAGGTGATGTTTTACGGATCAAAAAAGCAATCAAGGGCTGGCAAGATGGCTCAGTGGTCTAAAGCACCTACTTACAACAAGCTAAGCTAAGCAAAGCACAGAGACCACAGTTCAAACCCCCAGCACCACATGCCAGCCAGCCCCGCCCCCTGGTGGGCTGAACTGGCCACACACACACACAAAATAAATAAATGAATAAATAAATAAACAGCAATCAAGAGCTGGGGAAGTTGATTTGAAACTGTCTCATTGCTATTTCTCAATAAAATTATGGAGGGAAAAAAGGAAAGTTACTGAGTTGAGAAGAAGGACAAGAGAGGGAGCAGGAGAAAGAGATTTATCTATGTATATAAGCAGGATGGTTTAAACAACTGTACTGTGCATTTCTGTTGGTCTATGGAAAGGAGCAGTTAATGCTTTAAGTGTTTCGTCTCCTTTTTTCAATTGTTTATGCTTTCCTACTTGTGAATTTCTTATACATTTCTCTTTTTTCTTTTTTCTTCCAATTTAATGTGCATATATCTGGTAATATGAGTAACTGGTTGGAAGACAACACTATGTATCACAACAAATACTGTGAAATTCATATTACTTTGTTAAGTGCATTGTGTATCACTTGTTTTTTGTTTTGTCTGTTTGTTTGTTTGTTTGTTTGTTTGTTTTGGTGGAACCAGGGATTGAACTCAGGCCGTTGCACTTGCCAGAGAAGTGTTTATTCTACTGAGCCATCTCCACGGCCCCAATTTTTTGTTTTAATTCTAATTTGCACTGTCCTTACAATAAATAAATTATATGAAAATTAAGAAAAAAAAAAAGCTGGGGAAGGCAGAAATATAGCTCAACAGTCTAAAGCACCTGCCTGGGGCCAGGGAGATGGCTCAGTAGAATAAGCGCTTCCCTGGCAAACACAAGGGCCTGAGTTCAATCCCTGGTCCTGCCAAAAAAAATAAAAATTAAAAGGCAAGCTTCAGCAAATGCAGGGGCCAGGGATCGAATCCCACCCCCAGGGCAAGCTGAGCTGACCACAGAGTCTAGGCGTAGTGGTGCACACCCGTAATCCCAGCACTGGGGAGGCTGAAAACAGGAGGATCACTATGAGTCTGAGCTGTGTAGTGAGACCCTGTAACAACCAATACATTAAAAAAAAAAAAAAAAAAAGAGCTAGGGAAGGGAGAAGAGCTATTGCTTAAGACTTTTTTTTTTTTTGCCCAGGGATCATCTTAAAAGTAGGAGGGGTTTTTTGTTTTTTGAGACAGGACCTCACTATGTAGTTCAAGCTAGCCTTGAACTCACAATTCTCCTGCTTCAGCCTTCCTAGTGTTGAGATAAGGCATGGGCCACCATGCCTCGCCAGTAGGACTATCTGTACTGAAAAAGTAAAGTACAAAAAAGGACAAAGGATTCCAATATATATAATATGCAACCATTTTTACACAAAAGAGGGGCCAGGGAGATGGCTCAGTGGAATAAGCGCTTCCCTGGCAAGCGCAAGGGCCTGAGTTCAATCCCCAGTTGTGGAGGAGAAAAAAAAAAAATGATTCTGCCAAAAAAAAAAAAGAAAGAAAGAAAGAAAAACTGTATATGTGTGTGTATGTGTAAATATATATTTGTATATATACAGACATGAGAGGCTGGACATCATGGCACACACCTGTAACTCCAGCACTCTGGGAAGCTGAGGCACAAAGATTTCAAGTTCAAGCCTAACCTGGGCAATCTAGCAAAACCCTGTCTCAAAATATACAATAATAGGCCTGGGATATAGCTCAGTCTAAAAATTCTAGGTTCTGGGGGCCTGCCCCTTAGCTCAGCTCTTTAAGTGGCTGCTTCAACAAAGCAGTCAGGCTCAGGTTGCTGTGGTTCGATCCCTACAACTCAAGCCAGCCA